TTTCAAAGATGAACTCGAGGCACGAAAGTCGCTCAAAGCTTTATCTTTCTACAGCCAAAATTATAATTAAATACTCTTCGGAACGTTTTTTCTTTCTATTTGCGGAGAGAAAATATCGACTAAAGGCTTTTTAAAGCTCTGTAAGCTTATATCAAACCTCAAACTAGATCAGATCATTTTCTCAGATCTTAATACAAACGTGCTTAAACTGGCCTCATAAACTGCGCTCGACTTCATGAAATTAGATATAAAAAAACAAAACACATAGACTGTACATGTATACAGTAATTACTCAGGCTTACCATTCGAGATGCAGCTCCTGAAAGCTATCAAGTAAGGCCAGAATCGCTTGAGGGACTTTTCAACCCGCATCCAGCAAGGTGAATAACTAAAACGATGTCATCCGAAATCGGATTTCCAACTTTGACGAGCGGCGCATTTCTCAACCAAAAATTCAATAAACAAACCAGCCATGAATAACAGAAGACTGTTGATAGCAGCTGTATTTCATTTTATGCATCCAGTGGAAAAGACAGTCAAAAACATCACAAGTTGACAAAAAACTCTGTCAGCTTCAGCTGTCAAAGTTGCCTTTGTCTAGATCTATTCATTCTAGCTCTGTCTCGTTCTGCTTGCCGGCGTTTTCACTATAATTTTCTCTCCTTCTTCTCGCCCTGACTCTTTCTACTTGCCGACTTTCTTCGCTAAAATTTTGTCTTCTTCTTCTACTTCTAACGCGCTCTCTTTGGTGATCGTCTTCGCTTGCTCTACACGTGTTGACTCTTGCTTTCTGCCGTTCACCTTCTCTTTGCTCTCTGCTTAAAACCTGTCGCCTACACGCTAAAATCTCTCTGCTGTTGTTTGTTGAAATAATAGCTTTCGTAAGTTGTAATAAAAAGTTATAAAGGCTCTGTCGAAAAATCTTTTTGCTAAGTTGCTTTGAAATTTAATTTTTTCAAAACCAGTTGCGCGATATAATTGCGCGACGTTGCGCCATGCGATTTCCCACCAAAAAATCTCTACTTTCCCCTACCCCAAGAGTCCATGCGCTCTACTTTCCACTACCCGGAAAGTCCGTACGGACGGACGTACGCTGACATAACAGTGTATTGATGTATAATGGGGCTATTGCTAAGGCCTTGGAACCAGTACTAATGGCTGATGATTAGATATAGAATTCTCGACAGTCAACCCCTCCCGTGTTTATATCAGGCTATGCATTTCTATTGCTTAATTGTAATAATATTATTAAATGCATTATTTAAAAAATAAATTGCCGTTCTTTCTAAAAGTGAATGAAATGAATGAGTAAAACAAAACACTGTCTTTACTGTTCACATATGATAGTACATGAAAACTTAAGAGAGGTCTTAAGATAATAGTTTTACCTATTCATTTCCTCATGAGGAAGCTGGCTAGTGTCCTTTTTCAGGATCTTCTGAAACGAATTCTTCAAGATACTCAAAATATCTTCAACATACTTGTCATCCATAGTCACCTGAATAAGAATGGAGAAAATTAAAATAATGAAATCTTCATTTGCCTACCACAGTATTTTAGCACAAAGGCTCGTAAGGTAAAGAACAACGTTAGGAATTCCAAGTGGCGCGAGGCAAACCAGTTGGCTTCGATGGAATCCCTATTTTTCACACCCTCTTAGGAACAGAAAATTGATTCAAATTCCAAATGTGCGGTTAAAATATCAGGAAGAAACAAAGAAAAAAAGTGATGACGACCATTCTACCCCAGAGTAAGTATAAGCTTTTTCCCATGAGGAAAGAACTATTTGCGAGGGTACTCTTTCCAGAATAACAATGTCCTTGGATATGCATTTTAAAAAACTTTTACTTTTAAACAGACGGTGATTTTTCTGCACTTTCATGCATACCTGTAAATGACATCTTCACCTTGCTTAAAAAAGGATATGAATCATTTTGTTAAAAATGCAGTGTGACCATTCAAAGGAAATCTCTTTCGCATAATGTCATGAACAGTAGAATTTTTGCCATATACCCATCTTTTTCTCTCCATAACACAACCTCGTTCCCAGGGCTTTTCCCTTAAAAACCACCCATTTTTTAAGGGAAAAGCCCTGGGGACGAGGTTGCCCATAACAAAAGTCCAGTCATTTCCTTATCCTACAACCTTGACAATTTAACCACCAACTTTAAGGCCTTTTTTTCCATAAATCGATAGTAGGTGTGTTTTCACTGGCCATGCAATGAAAATAGAGGTTTCCGAGAGCTTTGCAGCCTCAGATACCGTAAAATTCCGAAAATAAGCCCCAGGGCTTATATTTTTTAAAGGGGATCCTCTTTCTCCTTATCTTTTCATACTAGCTTTGGAGATCTTAGCTCAAGGCTGACACTCTTTTTGCGGATGATATGCATGACCTGCTTCATTAAAGACAATAGGTCTTACACAATCCTATTAGACACCCTGAGGGCTTTCGGAGCATTTTCAGGGTTACAAGTAAAGGATAAAACCAAAGCATTAGCGTTAGGAAATAGGGGATCTCTCTGGGAAGGGCATTTGGATATGAATAATCTTTGTGAAACCATCAAGAATCTAGGTGATTATTTTGGTGGTGAATCCAGATGCTGAAAAAAGAGAAGAGCTCAAGACTCTGGAATCAATTAAGAAAGCGACTGATTTTAGGGAAATGGTGAGGCCTATCTCTTATAGGCAGAATACACTTGTTAAAACCTTTGCCATCCCTAGGGTATGTTTAAAGCATCGGCTATTTCAATCTCTAAGGATCTCGTGAAAGAAGCTGATTCAATCTTTTATCATTTTATCTGGAACGGAGAAGCTGAGAATGGTGGCTTGAATAAGCCTGATACTGAATCCATGATTCGCACCAAGTGAGTGACATGCTGACAAAAATTTTAAAAGGATTATTTAAGTCCATGGAAAGCGTTTTTAGGAGAGCTTCTGAAACCTGTTGATGGGAAGCTTTTACTGCATTATAATTTAGATATTTTTAAACTACATGTAAATATTTTTCTGCCAGCTTTCTATAGGCAATGTCTTGTTGCATGGCCAGAATGAAACGCAAGTGAACATAGTTCAGTACACGAAATTGCAAATCAAGTTATCTGGAACAACATTAGTTTCTCTGTGTTTGTAAGAAATCTGTTTACACGAAGAGATATTACAAATCAAGGCTTCTGTAAAATCTGGGACTTATTTTCAGTTGATGATGAACAACTTAACCGTGAACAAAGTTTTTTCATTATGAGTGTAATTAATTCCATGCCAGCAGCATGACATTTGTTAATTCCAACAGCTAATATTGCACCATCCAGTGATTTCTCCTCTTAGTCTATCTGTCCAATACACTAGCTATTTTGGTAAACGATATCTTAATTTCAATTCTTGACGCTTCTTCAAAGCACATCTATTGGCCTTTTCTGGCGAAAAAACAAACCACACCTACCGCTAAAGGGAAGCTATCTGCAAAGTATTATCATTTAATTATTGACTGGTGGCTTCGCTGCAATTTCAACGCTGATCATTACATGTTTGGACAACATAACTTCCGTTAAAGGTATTTACAATCTCGCACTAAAATTGAACAAAACTTTCCCTTAACATTAAGGTATTAGATCTGCTATAAACCATTCCATTTGAAAAATTTATTTCTCAAATAATTAAGAATTTTGCAAAATTAAAAATTACATGGGTCTATCAAGCGAGAGCTGAGCTTTCAGAAAATTGATGTTTGAGGTGTCTTTTCATACCTAAGGTGTGATTTCTGATTTATATCACAGGCTCAAAAATTCAATAATTCCACATTTCTGGCTTTCTCTCGATAGCTAGGAAAAAAAAAATTGGAACTGACTTATACCTAGATTGTTCATTTACCTTTAAATTCCCAGCAGTAGCCAGTAAATGTTTCCTGAGATATAGAGGTGGAATTTTTTACTAATGCCCTGTGACTTCAGCCTGTCAAAAAAATTCCAAAATATTCCGGGAATTGCCAGGAATTTAATACATTTTTCCTTAACATTATGTGAATAAACCTGGCAAGTTTCAGCGTNTGAAAAATTTATTTCTCAAATAATTAAGAATTTTGCAAAATTAAAAATTACATGGGTCTATCAAGCGAGAGCTGAGCTTTCAGAAAATTGATGTTTGAGGTGTCTTTTCATACCTAAGGTGTGATTTCTGATTTATATCACAGGCTCAAAAATTCAATAATTCCACATTTCTGGCTTTCTCTCGATAGCTAGGAAAAAAAAAATTGGAACTGACTTATACCTAGATTGTTCATTTACCTTTAAATTCCCAGCAGTAGCCAGTAAATGTTTCCTGAGATATAGAGGTGGAATTTTTTACTAATGCCCTGTGACTTCAGCCTGTCAAAAAAATTCCAAAATATTCCGGGAATTGCCAGGAATTTAATACATTTTTCCTTAACATTATGTGAATAAACCTGGCAAGTTTCAGCGTGGTATTATCAATCTGCATCTTTTTACATCAATTTGTTTTCAGTGCGGTCCAACGCAGCCGCAAAATTGCCCTTAATTCACCCTTAATTTTTAGCTTGGGACCAGGCTCTGCAGTGGGGGAAAAAAGCCAAAACGGGGTCCTGGAGACATGCCTTTGATGCCGCCATACCATGATACCAGATTCTGGTATCATGCTCATGTTGACAGATTCGTGGTGTTGTTGACAGTATTGCACTCTTTACGTACTCTTTCAATATCACGCTCCTACAATTCGGGAGGTTTTGAAACACGGATTTCGAGCAAGTAATATTATAATAATTTCTTTGAGAGACTTTTCGCTAATCCCTCTGCCCCAAGAAGAGCAAAAAATATGCCTGTGATCTGTTACAAAAAGAAAAAGAAGCATTCAAAATATGGAGCTTTTCTTCAGTACTCTCCTGTGATAAACTACAGTCACATTTACAAAGCGATTGACTTATAAACCGACATTCCAAAGGTACAGCATTGTAATCACGCTCCTACCAAAAGTTAGTCTGCTACACAGCCGTTTTTAGCATCGTCACGCAACGCTCCTCCCCACTAAGGAGGAGCGTTTCGTGACGACACTAAAAACGGCTGTGTAGCAGACTAACCAAAAGTGTGATAAAACCCCAAAATTAGTAGATATATGCAAACAATGCACTTTGCATATAGCTAAGCCTTGTGCTCCGAGAACACGTAAACCAAAACTGTACGGAGATACCCCGTGAGCAGTTTTTCAGTTTCTCTCTTGCTTGGCTTTTACTAGTTTTAGCGTTTACGAAGTCCGCCTCGCTTGTCAGTCGCGTAGTTAACAATCCAAATATGCAACTGACAAGCGACGTGAACTACTTTGTAAACACTAAAAGCCATACATGCAAGAGAGAAACCTCAGCTCGCAGGCTAATACCAAGATAACAGCGGTTGAGGAAAATCAGGGAAAATGATTACTAATTTTTAAATGATGTTGAGCAGACACACTGTATAAAAGGGACAACAACTTCAACAAGAATACACTCAAACTGAATAGTCTGTTGCATAAGGTGCATAAACTTACACATTTTTCCTTCGCGGAATATAAACTCTATCAATAGCAATATTTCGTCTAGTACATGATGACGCAAACTGCGAACTTGAGGGATCTCCTAGAGAATCTGTTCGACTGTTCTTCCCCGGTCACACGTGGCGCAATTTCCTCTGAAACGTCTTTATTTCATTTCTCTTCGCTGAAGCTGGTGTTACTCCAGATGGCAATCGAAGTTAAGTAGATCTCTTTGCTTGCATGTATTCAAATATTTTTTACAAAAGCGACATAATAAACTCACGCTGACATCCGTGATGAAAACTTAATGTGTTGACATTTCAATGACAAGTTAATTGCTGGAGGGCGAATCAGCGCCATCAAAGGCATGTCTCCAGGCTCCACCACCCTTTCCCCTCCCCAGACTACCTCTCGGCTCGCTTGGCTTGCCGAATTTTTTTTTCGCCAATGCCGATTTTTTCCTCCTTTTTCTCACAATGCGGAGCCTTGTCCCAGGCTATTAAGAGGCTGTCTCAGTAAAAACCGCCCACTCAATTTCGCGTGAAAAATAATTTTGCCTGAAACTCTGGCGAGTGAAAGGCTTTATCGAGACTATAACTAAAATAGGTTTGCTTTGATTCACAATAATTTTCTGGCCGCGCTGGGGGGCGCCGAGTATTTTGTCCCCCCACGGCCATTTTGCACGTCTTGAAAACTGAAAATTTGCCATTTTTTACGGCGCTGTAAAATGTTTGATTTGCACCATTTATCAATCAATTTTATACCTATTTATAGTAAAACATCTCTAGTTTTTCCTGAAAGTAATAGTTATCCGCTAAATTTAGCTGGAAAGACGAAATCAAGCAAAATATGACCCCAACTAATTGCCTTGGAGCGAAAGGCCAAAAATTACCCTGTTTTAAAAGCTTATTTCTGACTTTTGGGNAGCAAAATATGACCCCAACTAATTGCCTTGGAGCGAAAGGCCAAAAATTACCC